CTTGTTTATTTTTGCCTTTTAAACCCCCCATCAGAGGTCCCGACCAGCCAGATTTGCTCCGGCAGGCAGTAGCATCCGTCCGGTTCTCATATCCATTGTCTGATTCCGGCGACGTTGGCTTCCGTGATGCCCACACGGGATGCTCCCGTCTTGCACCTGAACAAAGAGTCCAGTGGCGTTCGCCTCCCGCCGCGCGTGTGGCATCGCGGAGCATCCGTCCAGCTCCGGGCCAGCCCCGCCATCGTCGCCCGGTTTTCCGGCACTTTCCACCCGTCTCAGGAGAGCGTTCTGCAGCCCTCGTTTCTTTAAATCCGCCAGCGTTCCTTTTGTGCGTCGCAGCGCTCCTCTTCTGGCTGAAAGCTCCGGTTTACGGTAGCGGCACTGAACCGCGGCAGGGAAACTGGGTCAGTGGTTCTCGCGTTACCGCATGTTTTTGTCAATGATGCGCTGGGCTATAAGCACACAGCCCCTCGAGCAGCGTGGCTCTGTTCCCAGATCATGCTGTTCTCCTGGTGAACTCCAGTATAGAGAGGGGGAGGAATATTTTTTATTTTTTTGTGTGACCCCTGCTTTTAAAAGGCAACCCCCCCTTTTATGGACGCTTGCAGCTGTCAACTGATGTTTTTAGGGACCTCTAGTGACACCGTAGACAAAATTGACAAAGGACAGCCCGCGATGTGACTGTCTGCGCTGCCATTTTTCCAAACAGGCCCTGAAGTCATTCGTTCGCTCCTCGTTTCTGTCACGAAGGGACTGAGAAGATTCGTCACCACGAACCCAAGTACTTCTCAGCGTCACTGAGCCTGTCCTTTGTATGCTTGTGTTCTGGGAAATCGAATACAAGTTGACAATTAACTTCGACTCCTGGTTGTCATTTTTGGTATCACTGCTGTTGAATGACACATTGTTTTCTTTGTAACTATATTTTAGTGGAGTAGTACTGGTTAACATCAGTAGCAGGGCCTCTCCTGGGATGCGAACCAACAAACAATTATATATACTCTTATCCAACTTCTTATTCATAGCCAGCGTGGAACTTGATATTGATCAGATTTTCCGTGTTGCTCTGACATCATCGTACGAAGGAACGCCGAACACTGAACAATAGCGAGCACCCGCCAAACCCAATTGGTCCTTGGCCGTGCTCATGTTTATTGAATAGCCTTCTGAATGCGGCTCCCCTGTCTCTGATAAACGAAGCGTGTCATCTGGCGCATTCCCGGGACGGCAAGAGAGCGAACGGGCAGAAAGCGCTGCCGGACCTGCCCGGGGAATCTCCCCCACCTCGCCTCACGCTCCGAGCCCGCCGGCTCCTGTCCGGCTCCTGTCCGGTTCCTCTTCATTATCTTTATAACGAGGCTGCCCTGCTCCAAGTTCTCAGGGTCCCTCCAGGGCAGTGCTACTGTTTTATTTTATATTTCATATCACATTTTTAATATTTTATAACTCTTTGCAGATACATGCTGAGAAATGTACCTGTATACTAATATATTTTACATTTCCATGGTTTCTAATTTTTTTTTTTTATATATTTTTTTCCTCCCTGTTCTTCCTTTACAAAAGCCTACATTGTGTTTTTTTCCACCTTAATTAGGTTTTGAGGTCAGTCAATGGTTATTGATTCCTGTAGATGTGTGTTTAGATGGAGCTTGCCGACTCTTGACCACATGGCTTCCTGCATGCCCATCTTGAGGACCTCAGTCAGTGTTCATCTAGGATCATCAACCCCGTTTTCCTTCCCGCGCAGTCATCTCAGGTCAACGGTCATTCTCATTTTTGTCACACCGAGGTCATCCCGCTCCGAGGGCGTTTACGTGCTTCTCTCCTGACGGGCCGCCTGTCTGGGACGAGATGTACGACAGCCATTACGGGGCTGTGGCTTATCTAATGAACAACGTTGCCATGGTAACTGTGCGGCCGCCCAAACAGGGGAGAGATTGCACAACACACCCCCGGAATCGTAAACTAGAACAACATTACGTGCCTTTCCTCGATGGATGGATGGATTGATGGAAGATGATAAATAAGGACTGAGAATTCACTGTACTATTCTATTCCACTAGTGGTACCCAGAGCCCCCCCCCCCCCCAGGTGGTATGTGAGAATACCGTGGTAATTTGTTAGTGAATCCAGTCATTGTGACTTTTTTTTCTGTCCATACTTGGCTGCTTTGGTTTGATCCGATGTGGTACTTGGTCCAAAAAGTTTGAGAGTCCCTGGGATATTATAAACCATAAGACACAGGGAGTAGTGAGAGAGACAGTAAAAAGAAAAGTGTTTATTTTTACCACATTGGGATGTTACAAGGTGACCTGCTTGATGGTGGTGTTACTTTATCCGGAACGGGATGTTCTGGAGGAATTTGTGTGGCAAGTGGAAATTTCATAATGCCCCACTGTGCAGAAGTAATAAGTAGATATTGTCACTGGGCGGCCTGCTGGGAGGTTTAGCCGGGGGGTCTCCGCTTGTTTACAGTACACTGAGGGAGGTGTCACCCCATGAGTAACATCTCTCCGTCAGCCTGGTCCGGTTTTCACGGCTCATGGTCGCCTTCGGTTCCACCTCCTGACAGCAGCAGTCATCCTGAAAGAAAAGTGCCGTCCTGAATGTAATATATATATTTTTGGATTATTTTTAAGGGCTCATCCAGGGGCAGGACTTCAGGGGCATTAGCCCCAGCTGAAAGCTGATTGGCTGCTGCCCCTGTCACTCACTGATTCAAAAGCATGTCATTGGCTAAGGATAAAGATGGCCCTTCTTTTGCCCCCACCTTAAAAAAAATAATAAATCCTAACATTGGCTCTGCTACTAACCCACCGCCCTCTAACTTCACCTCTCTCCTCTTGCTTTAGCTGGCGCTGGCAGACGAGCAGAATGAAGGGACCCGGAATGGCCTGGAGACCAAGGAGCTGGTGTACCTAGTCCAGATCTGCTGCCAGGTGTGGCTCTCTCTTTCAGTTCTACCCTTTCTGCCACCCCACTGGATCCCAGCTGCGGACCCGCGGTTTCCCAACACGTTACACCCACTCCGTGTCGCTTCCTGTCCGGATCTTCCCACGCCAATGGCAACAGCAGCTGAACGCTTAATGTCTCTCTTCACTTCCGGCGGCATGCGTTCTCTGCAGCCCTCCACCGTGCAGACCTCCGGGTGTTTAGTTGTCCCAGTAATTCGGAACAGATTATGTGGAGGATTTTATAGTCGTGACGAGGTGGCAAGGGAGATGGATTGGAGGAACAGGATTGGGTGATGATGAAAGGAGGACTGTCAGAGCACTGTTACTGGAGATGAGAAATAAACCTGCCAATGAAAACGCAATAAAGGTGCCACATTCCTCAGGGGAGTGAAGCTGTAATGATATTTATATTCATCAAGTGCCATTTTTTATATTGCCCCCCCAGGTGGGCAGAATCACAGAATGCAGTCTGATTGGATTGCCTGGTGTGTTCAGATGCACATGCTGAGTGAGGTCGACGGCACCATTTTTACACAGCTCTGGCATATTGTCCTGGAAAGTGCGGCAGTGACTGTGCGATTTTTGACCGAATACAGTTCGGCAGGGTCCATGTGATAGAGGAGGGCAGGTTCACTGGGTCAGTTGCGGAGGCGGAGCTCTTAAACGTAAACGAACTGCCTGTCCTCTGATCCGATCACCCTTGGCAAGTCCCCGGGAATGGGGCAGAACAGTGTTCCTCAATCTAGTCTTCGGCAACCCAGAGACTGCACATTTTTGCTCCCTCCCGGCTCCCAGCCAATCATGAACCTGGAACACCTGGTGCAGGTGTGTTGGGAGCTGTCTCAAGGACCCTGGGGACTGGGCAGAGAAACACTGGCTTGCCTCCGTGAAAACAGGCCCACTGCCGAGGTCAGGGGGGTGGAACACACTTCCTGGGGGCGCGTCACGTGATGTTTGTTGCTCCGTCTTGGCGACAGTTGAGAGCGATCTCCCTCGGTGGACCCAGGGACACTGGAATCCCCTCCTTTATGAAATGGTTTGGGGTTTGGAAACGACCACATGGAGCAAAGGAAGGGGGGGGGGGGAGTGCAGCTGAAGGGATGAAGGAAAAATGTGGAGACGACTTATGTGCCAGAGGACTGACCTCGGAGTTCAGCTGGCCCGCGTTCTGAAATTGAATTCAGCGCCCCCTTATAAATTACGTTTCATAATCTGACGTCTGTTTTTGGCTCTGAAACCGAGATTTTCTTTCGAATGGCTTGGTGGGGGGGGGACTGACAGGGAGGAATAAGTATGACGCTGTCTGATTGAGAGGCGGGGACTGCGGGTGTGACCGTCAGGGGGGGGGGGGCGGTGGGAGAGTGTGCCGCGTGAGGTGATGGAAAGGGACGGCGGGAAGCCGCAGCAGAGAACGCTTTGGTTGAGTTCAGAGCCCGGGGGGGGGCTGCATTCGGGACGTGTGCCCGTATCACTGTTTGTTTTCACGTTTCCAGCTAGGACTGTGTGGTGGCGGTCTCCCGCAGTGGGATAGGAACCGGTGGGGTTGGGGGGGCGGGGGGGCAACAGCCTTTCTGGGGATCTCGCGCCCTAGGTGGGGGGTGGAAATGCCCGTTTGATGGTTAACATGTGGGCCAGCCCTTCGGGATCCGGAGTTCGCATCGGGATCTGACCCCAAGCCCGAGACACAGGAGGATAAAGCCCTCGCTCAGAGAGCGCCCCCCTTCATCTCGCCTTGGACATTACACACATGCCATTGCCGACCAATCGGAGAGCTGGCCGACAGATCAGAAAGCGCATCAGCCAATCAAATAAGGCCACCAGGAGCTTTCTAAGATTGTATGGAACTTGAAGGATTACATGACATTTATATTGGGATCCCACGATATCAACTTCAGATCCAGACATGCACATATACTGTTTTAAGATGCCAGAGCATTGCAAGCATTTTAAAATGACAGTATAAAGCAGAGCTGAAGTATGTCCCTGCATCCTCCTTATGCTATTATAGTCCATTACTGCGTGTGTATATTATATTACTGCATTAAATGCAATCTGTATACTGCAAAACCTCATTACTGCTTGATTATCAAATGTAGGACTATTTTAAGGGTGTTCTACTCAGTGAGAAGGATTTGGGTCAGGAACACAGTGACGGCGCCCTCTGTGGGCAGTGTGGATTACCAAAATACAGTCTCCTTGGGGGTTTGTGTCGGTTTAAAGGGCACAAGGGTGTGTGGAGTAGAGAGATGCACGCACACATAGGGGCTTGTGCTTTGATCCGAGGAGCTGGTGAGTTCACATGGGACGTGTGCAAAGCATCCTTTTTGGCCAAGGGGAGATGTCCTCAGCGATGCTGCGGGGCCTTTTCGTGCAGAGGTCAAAAGTTCAGCCTGGAAGGTACCACCAGATGGGGGGGGGGGGGGGGGGGGGGGGGGGGGTGGTGTCAGTTGGGCAGATGTGCAACACTCAGGCTTCTCCAGACATTCTCCTCCAAAATTCCATTCCATCAGACGCCAAAACATTCCGCTTGGAGCACGATGTCTGGAAGCGGCTCGGCAGCGTGTGACGTGGCATGGGAGGTGGTTTTTTTTTTTCTTTTTCTTCTTCTCATAGTACCAAAGCCGCTGCGAGAAACGGTTGCATTTCAGTAAGTGTTGCAGGGGCCAGATTTTCTAGAGACCAGTATCTATGTCCTGCTGTGTAATTTCATCTCCTTTTGCGAGGTCTGGCAGTTTTTATCGCAAGGTGCACGCCTCGTCCTTGCCTGCGTCATGTGGTACCCTGCGTCATGTGGTACCCTGCGTCATGTGGTACCCTGCGTCATGTGGTACCCTGTGTCATGTGGTACCCCGTCTGAGAGTGGGGGGTCTGTCTGCATTGCGTGTTCATGCATATGTCTCGCTGCTGCGCATGTGGCTTGCTGTGTCTCCTGCCTGCTCCCCCCCTCTCTCTCTCTCTCTCTCTCTCTCTCTCTCTCTTTTTCCCTCCCTCTCTCACCTCCCCCCTGTCTCCCTCCTTCCTCTCCTGCAGGGCCGGAGCTGGATTGTGAAACGCAGCTATGAAGATTTCCGCGTCCTCGATAAGCACCTCCATCTATGTATCTATGACCGCCGTTTCTCCCAGCTCCCGGAGCTGCCTCGATTTGACAGCCTGAGGGACCGTGCCGAGGTAAGAGGCTCCGCCCACTTTCTCAGTTCACCCAATAGGACACCTCGACCTGCATACCCAGGATCATGATAGTATTTTTCACTCAATACTGGACACTTCTTAATTATTGTGTAGACGAAAAGGAGTAGGTATATATACATTTATAAAGCAAAATCAATTAAATGTCCTGGTTTTTGCAGTGCATTTCCCAGGAACTTCCTTGCAGAAAGCAAGTTTAACTGGAAATCGCCAGCTATTTATGTCATTGTCTCAAGTTTCCGAGTGCTTGAAAGGTATTTTTGGAAGGTTCCCCTGGCTGAATGGAGCCGTGCTGGACCCAAGACTGTCATGGTGACTGATATGCAGTCAAACTGTCGTATTGCCTGAGGATACGGGCCGGGGACTGATGTGATCGTCTATTTCTAACATCTGAAAGCATGACAGTCAGTCTGTGCACAGTCTGAACAGGCACACAGCAGATTCTCATCACAGGAGAATTCTTGGTAACCTCAGCATCTACTGTAACAGGGTTTTGAATAATAATAATAGTAATATTAGTAGTTTTGTTGTTGTAATTATTATTATTATTATTATTCAGTGTCTCCCCTGCAAGTGCAGTGCCTCGCTGCAAGTGCTTTATTCTGCATGGCAACGGGATACGCAGAGTGGGATAAATGCAGACTGTTCCCGGTCCCAGTCTCCTCGTGGTGCACTCCACACGTAGAGAACGGCGTGTGATTCTCTGTGGTCACCTTTCACCTGCTTTTCTCAAATGCATGACAGTTTACGAACTGCAGCACTACAAAACGTATAATTAATATTATTAATGTTTTGTTTAAATGCTGTATTGCCCTTGAGGCCCATTGAATACGCCGGTCCCGGTGAGTTCTAGGCCCACTCCATAGCAGCGACCCAGCGCCATTCCCGACCCAGCGGGACCCAGTCTGCAGAGCTTCAGGTTTAATCTGTATCAGAGTCCTGTTACCCACGCAATGTCTAAACACTGCATATTCTGATTAAAGCCTGCGTTTTGGATCTAATAATAAAGCAGTTAATCTTACTAGGGCTCCCCCACCAGTCCTTAGCCTGGTAAAAACAATGTAGTTATTCCTGCTTTTGCGGGGTTTTACCCTCATGTCCGTTCTCGGTGTGGTGTCAACCTCCGGAATGGATCGTAGGACAAAGAGGCTTTGAGTAGCCGTCCCAAAAAAAAAAGCTGTGCTCGGGTTACCGGGATGAATCGGAAAAAGCATCTGTTCCGGGCCCCCGTGACCTCTGGGACGCTCTCACCCCGTAGGAGTTCGTCTAGAGCGGCTGGACGTGGACAGGTGTGGTGGGTCGTCGTGGAAACGCAGGGTTTCCCTATCAGAAGCTCACTTGCTTTGAATACGGTTTTTGTCTCAAAAAAACTAAAAAAAAAAAAAAAAAAGCAGACGTCTATAATCAGACGTGGAAACGTGTTTGGAAACTTATTTCAGGCAGATGTGCTGCTATTTGTGTGCTTCTGTTCTGCTGGCGGGGCACTTGACGTGCCAGGAACGGCACGCGTCCGGGGGCCGTCACATGGTACTGGGACCTCTGTTTATCTCCCTTGGGGGAGTTAATTCTCTGGGGCCTGGATGTGCCCTTGTATTTGTGTCATAAGACAATGAGCTACATAGTAGCTTTTAAATGTCACTTGGCCTGTCATTAGCCCAGGTCGCTAACACAAGCCAGTTTATTATTGTTAATATATATGAAATGTTCTGTTTCCTAAAGGTTAAACCACTTGAAGGAAGTGGAGAGAGAGACCTGTCCTGTGGCAGTCAGGTTGCAGTTCCAGCTTTTTTTAAAAAAAATTATAAAAATTTAAATTTCTTTAATTAGCCTTATAACCTTAATAGCGCTATTGTAAGATGCAGATGCAATTCTAAGATTTTTGAAGGCGTGGGGGCATAAGTGGGGCCGTAATTCATACAGAGGGACCGACCTTAGGTTAGCCAATGGTATGTTTTGCATCGGTGAGTGAGGGGGAGGGGTCACTCTGGTGGCCAATCGGCTACGACCTGTGTGCCTGTGGCCCCGCCCCTGTATTCACCCTCTGGCATGGATGTTCACACAGCCCTGGGGTCTGAGGGAAACGTGTGATGTTTTTGGTAGGGGTTGTATTTTAATGGACTGCATAAATATGGTCAAACAGGCCAAGCGCTGACCCGTAGGTCGCTTTGGAGCACAGCACTTGCCGGGTGAATAGATATAAACGTAGCGTGCTGCCTGTTCGTAAGGCTTGGCCCGACATTCGGCCAGGCTGCCTGACGCGGGGGCCCAGCGGACCTTGAACCACCTCCATCTTCCCGGCACTTCGCTTGGGCTTGAACCTGAGGGCCATCTGGCGCCGTAATTGAGCACCGTTTATCGCCGCGAGTGGGATCGTCCCTGCCATCCGTCGACACTCCATGGTGCCCCCTACTGCTATTCAGCAGGACTGCACCGAGACATAGCTGGGCCCCTGAAAAATTCTACCAAATGCTCCCTGCCCCCGAAACCTAACCCACCATTATTCACACACATCCCCCACCTCTTGCAAAGGCACAGAAAACACAGATGAACCTCGTGATGAATCATAGCTACAATAGTGAGACGAGAAAAATGGTTTTAAGGTCAATCAGTGCATCTCTCTCCGTGAGGTAGATTCTCATCTGTGGACCAGGGGCGATTCTAGGAGTTTTTTTTTAAGATGGGGGGCATAATAGGGATCATAATTCATACCAAAGGGGCAACTTTAATATTAGCCAATGATATGTTTTGAATTGGTGAATGACAGGGGAGCTAGCACTCTGGGAGCCAATAGGTTTTTAGCCTGTGGCCATTTAGCCCCGCCTCTGTAAACGTTCCTGCAGTGGATGGGGGTGAGGACAATGGTGGATCCACTTCAAACCTTTGCTCCCTGGGAAAGATGAAGAGTTCGGCGTCAGCGTTGTCGCCGATATCGGAGATCGCAGGCTTGAGCACTGCTTCGCACAGAGCAGTAACAGATGTGCAGGGCCGCCGCGTCCTGTTTGACGGATGAAAAAAGGGCAAAATAAAAATGTGTGTGGATTAGTCCCTCCGTGCTGCCCCGTTCATCTTCGGCATCTGGACGTTTGTGTGCCCTAAATCCTTATGTCTACAGCCTGCCGGCCAATCAGAATCAAAACGTCTGTCAGCTTACTCCAGACTACCCTGGCGTGCGTGTGGGGTGGGGGTGTGGGGTTGGGGGGCCGATGGATGAGTCAGAGCATGGGCACAGCAGGTCTGTTTTTGAATACATGAAAAATGTGATTTTGCCAGAAATTGAGAAACATTCATTCAGTAAGGATTGCTGGATTTGCTAATCTAATTATTCTCCCCAGAGAGAAATTAAGACGTTACCTCCCACGCTCTGTCCTTGGAAGTGAAATAAAACCTTTTTAAAGTATAATTTCCAAGTACATTTAGTAATTAGATGGAAAGCCCATGTATGTGAAGGTGACTCTGTCGCAGCTGCATGGAGGCGTCTGGTTTCTGCTGCCGTATCTGGCGGGGGGGGGGGCGGGGGGCGAGGGGGAGCGTGAGCGCCAGGCGCTGCGTAGCCGGCGTCCCGGATCGCTGAGGGTTAACGGAGCTGCTCTTCCCCTGTGGTTCCTCGCAGGCCGTGCACCACATGCTGATGGCCTACCTCTCCCGGCTCTCCGCCATCGCCGACAACAAGATCAACTGTGGGCCTGCGCTCACGTGGATGGAGGTAACGTCCTGCTAATGTCTCTCTCTCGCCTTCCCTCTCCCCCTCTTCCTCTCCCTCCCTCGCTCTCTCCCTCTCCATCTGCCCCCTCTTCCTCCCCATCTGCCCCCTCTTCCTCCCACTCTCCCTGTCTATCTCTTCATGTCTCCCTCCCTCTTTCTCCTTCCCTCTCTCCAATTCCTCTTCCTTCTCCTCCTCCCACTCTCCCCCTTTGTCCTTCCCTCTCCTACTCCATCTCTCCACCTCTTCCTCATGTTCTCCCTTTTTCTTTCGCTTCATCTCTGCCAACCTTTCTCCCCCTTCTTCTCTCTTCCCCTCTCTCTCCCTCTGTCCCTATCCCCCTTTTCCTCCCACTCTACCTATCTTTAACTCTTTATCTTTACCTACCTCTTTCTCCTTCCCTTTCTCTCCCCTTCCTCGTTTCCTCTTCTCATCTCTGCCTCCTCTCTTTTCCCTCTCTCTCCCTCTCTCTTGCTCCCCTCCCTCCCCGCCTTGCCTCTGAACCCTTCATCATGCCGTTCTGCTTAACGAGCCGTGTTTGTGTTGATATTTGGCATAGCAGCACACATCATGTTCCTCACTGTGAGCCCTGATGTTAACACTGCACAGACTTTAAGGGCGTGAAGACCACCATCAAAGATTCACCATACAGAGCCGTGCCACTCGTACTCAGTAATGAGCTACATACGTCGTACATTTAATGGGAGTTCAGCTGCACCTTATCTAAATGTACTATCTGTGTTTTACGTCAACCTCAGCTTGAAATAGAATTTTGCTGTGAATTCAGAACACCTTCATTTTCAATCTCTCTAACCGGAAACAGGCCTGCATCTGATAAATAACGCTGAAGTTGTGGTCGGGGACATCAGCACAGGATTACTACCTGGGTCATGTTTTACAGGAATAGTGTGTTTTCACTGTGACTAAAGCCTGTATGGTAAAATGGAGACAGGTAGATTTGCTGATGATTGATGCCATTTTTTTTTGCCCCCCCCCCCAGATTGATAATAAGGGGAACCATCTGCTGGTCCATGAGGAGTCCTCCATCAACGTCCCGGCCATCGCCGCTGCCCACGTCATCAAGCGCTACATTGCCCAGGCAGCGGACGAGCTCTCTTTCGAGGTGATTGCCCATGGCTCAAGATAGCCTCCAACAATGCCCCCCCACCAGGACAATCACGAGCATTTGGATAGCAACAAAACCTTAGCAATCCTAGCCTGTTGCCATTGGCCGGTTTTTTGAGCTGACCTTTGACCTTTCCAGGTTGGCGACATCGTCTCTGTGATCGACATGCCCCCCAAAGAAGACACCACCTGGTGGCGTGGAAAACACGGCTTTCAGGTTTGTACTGCAGAGCCCCCCCTCTCTCCCTGGATATAGAGGTTATATACCCCAGGTTATGTACCTTGTGGCATAAAAGGTTTAGTTTGCATATCCTATGAATGACCGAACCTCAAGAGCCATTTGATGGGTCAATTGTTTTCATTCACCGTTCTTATGGTCGTTGTAGCCGGCAGGGGATTTTTATGTCTCTCTTTGAATTTCACTTCCTAATTATTATTTTAACTTGCACTCAGATCAAGTTGGACTCTGTTTAAGTGTTATTTGTTCAGTTTTTCTGGGCAGTTCAGAGTGCTGGAAAAGCGTATTTGTGACGTCTGCGATACTCGCGCCTCATTCTCCAGCGATCCCGGCTGACCTGCCCGATTTCCGCTGGTTTGGCTCATTACTCGTTCCGGGGGGAATGTTCGCCGGATCTCCCACTTAGACCAGGCGGGTGGGAACGCTGGGAAGTCCGCCACGGTGCACAAATGGGATCCGTACGCTATCCCGGCTAGTTAAACAGGAAGGTTTTTCTTTTAATATGTTAAAAACTAGAACAAAGTACTGTGGATAACTTTGCCATTGGCTCTGGGTCACCATTTAGTAATGCTAATGCTACATTAAGTAGGAAAAGCTATTGCCCTCTCCAGTAGGTTTTCACAGCAGGTCATGATTTTGGATGCTTAATTGGCCTTGTCTGTTCTGCAGACCGGACCGTATAAGTGTGGGATGAGCAGCGCCACATGGAATCGGGTCACTGTGGTACACCAAACACCCTTATGACCACCCTGGCTTTGTGTAACAAGTTGGTACAGCGGGTGTGATGACGTTTTATCCCCAGCAGGAGGCAGTCACTCCCCGCACCTCTGCTTCTGGCAGAAGAGGCCACACACAGCTTTGCATCTTTCTCTGAGAGCTGCTCCAGCTGCGAGTCCGTCGGCCTGAGGTCCTCCACCCTGTCGCTGGAGTCTAATTAAACACGAGACAAACTTCGGAAGGCCACGTTCTCAAGGGCTGAACTGCCGATCAGTTTGTGGCTTCACGGGTTAGGACTCCGTGCTTGTGATCGGAAGGTCACCGGTTCAAATCCCACAGTCAGCAGTGATGTCACCGTTGGGCCTTTGAGCGAGGCCCTTAACGCCTAACTGCTCCAGGGACTGACTGGCCCTGCTTTCTCAGTGCATGTTACTTTGAATAAAAAATGTCTCCTGAATAAGTGCTAGTTAGTGGAAGTTGAGGCAAGCTTCGCTAATGAGCTTTAAGATCTGTGTGTGCACACACATAGGTGTATCTGAATCTGCGTGTGGGAATGGATTAAGAAGTAAGAAGTAATAGTTACTTGTGGCAGCACTGGTGCCACCCAGGAATTAAAAAGAAAATGGAAAATTGTACTTCCATTTGTTTGATTGATTATGTTGGGTTACGAGGACCATGGTGGCCCAGAATCTCCATCTTACTGTGGTCTCCAGGCTGCTGTAAGCCGTCGGTTCTCCTACCTCAACTCTTGGAATCTGCAGCTCATTTTGTGTGGTGAACCTTGGATTAATCAGGGTCAGGACTGTAATAATCATTAACCGCACTTTTAAGTGGGTTTAGCAAAGCAGCTCATGAAGGCATGTTGGAGAGGACACTCTGGGCAGTGGCGGTATCTTTTTCAAGGAGAGTGTTGACTGGAAAATGAGCAGAGTGATACCTTTGGCTTCTATTCAGGTTAGTTATAAGTTCAGGTTTTTTCCCCTTGGTCAATATATTCAGAAGTGTATAATTCGTGGGTGCTATTTTGAACTCGGAAAGTGGTTTGATTGTGTTTCGCATTTTTATTGCGACTGCGCTGTGTCTGCGCTGTGTCTACCAGAGGTAAATGCAGCATTTCCATCAGCAGTGTTTGGTGAACGGTGCCCTGTTCTCACCCTGCCCAGCAGGGGGTGCCAGTAAGAGACGGCCCCTCAAAATGGCAGTAATTGGCAGGTGCTAGGGCTGCTTGTCAGGGCATGTCATGGGGTTCGCTCTGAAACGCCTGCCGAACAGCTTGGCAGTCGAAGGCGTTCGGACCCCCCGCCACGCCAGACCTGCACCGGCCTGTTTGTTTATGCGAGATTTCTCATTTCCTTCCCAAAATACCTACGGTAATGTCACAGGTCCAGAAAGAGCAAATCACACAATGGTAGCACTTCTCATCTCATTTCTGCATGTTCAGTGTCCACTTATTTGCATTATAGAAGTTCTGGTGGCCAAAAACCCTCTTTGAAGGTTGGTTGTATTTCCGAGATTATTTCTGTGAATATGCAACGCTGTTGTTTGACTTTTCTTTCCTTTCCTCTCCACAGGTCGGTTTCTTTCCCAGTGAGTGTGTGGAGCTGATAAACGACAAAGTTCCCCACTCTGTCACCGGCTCCATGCCCAAACCAGGTATGGTCAACCACATCTGAGCATCTGAATGACCTAGAGACGCAAAATGGAGTCTCTAACTGGCACGGACGTCATCTGGAAGCTGTAGATCTGTTAGAAGTCCTGTTTTGATGTGGATTTTAACTTGCCCAGCATATCGATGAAATGGCTTACAAGTGTGGTTTTGCTGTAGTGACATGGGTGGGGGAGTGAGGACTGAGGCAATGTCCTCAAGTTTTGGTACGGTGATGTGCCAGCGGCTCGTGGCCAGGCGCTTACGGTGTCTCCATGACCTCCTGTAGCCTTCCTGCCGTGAATCACAGGCTGAGTGAGCAGTGTCGAAATATGGGACCAAGTCCTGGCTGGCCTTTGGTGCTTTCTGAGAGTGGCTCGCATGAAAATGTGGAGAGGCCGTTGTGTGAGGCAGGATGGTTTGTTTGGGAGGCAGAAAAGTAGCTGTCACTATGTTATTTCATCTGCTGCTAATCCTCTCCATCTTAGAGGTAAAATGCGCATCCAGGGGCGTTTCTAGGATAGGTCGGAGGCATAAGAGGGACCGTGATTCATACTGAGGGGCCAATCTTGTTAGCCAATCATATGTTTTGAATTGCTGAGTGACAGGAGAAGGTGCACTCCGGGGGCCAATCAGCTTTCAGCTGGGGACTATGACCTGTGGCCCCGCCCCTGAATACACGTCTGTTTTGGTCTTGCCCCCAGAGGTGAGCTTCTGAAATCGTATGGGGATGTTCATCTAACCAAATGCCAGCAGAAACTAGCTACCGTTTTTCCCGGACGTTTTTTATCCGGAACGTTCCTGATTACAGCTCAGACCCCAGCCAGGTTTTAAGTACCATAGCTGTATAATCCTCACATTTAGTCTGCGGATTATGCATGGAATCCCCATTTAAAAACCAGGCCGGTTCTCACTGGATTTCTTTTTCCGGGAAATTTTCACTGCCGCAGTACACATCACGACTGACAAATTAGAAGAGTGGAAAAAAAAATTAATAGCTAAAATGAGTCAACGGATGTGAACGGATACTTTTTTTTTTATTTCTTTTTCTTACCCAGCCCTAAAATATGGTCATTCTTGTTTTTCCATGAACTTTTCCTTGGATACGATGACGTCAGGCTCGCAGCGGCCGCCTGACATCATGTTTTTTGGACTTGCCACATGCTATGACTGCTCTCGTTTTTTAATTCCTCCGTGGACACGTGCCTTTTATCAGATGATGTGCAGCCAGTCCGAGAGGGTGAATCATCGGCGTCCGTCCGCCGGGTCGCTAACGCCGCTTCTGCTGTTTGACCAAAACACTGGGATGGGGGGGGGGGGGGTGTTGTGGGATAAGAAAAGTGAGTACATAGAACAAGATGAGAATGTAGGGAATGAACAAACTCAGTCTGTGTGCCCAAGGGGGGCCTTATTGTTAACTCCCAGTGTCGCTGTCCTCCTGCCTGCATGCCCAGTGGCTCTTTGCCTGCGCTGTCCTCTTGGGGGCGTGGGTGGGCGGCTGTACAGGATGTCATGAGCTCGGATCCTCTGTCCCTTGCATGTTTAATGCTGTTATTTCGCTGTGTCCCCTCCCCGCCCCAGCATCTCCCAGCTCTGGTCTGCGGCCCGCCTCCTGGAGCTTCTTCCCGCCCTGTACGTGCTGGTATACCTCACGCTTTTCCACAGGCACCTGACATCCTGTCCTACATTCCGGAACCTTCTTCCCCGCCCCTATAACCTGCCAATTCCAGTACAAACGTGGTTGTTAAGTTAGCACTGCAGCAGAAATGGCTATATCAAACCAGAATTTAACAGTGAGTTAGTCGAACAAAAGATAGTAGCTCCATGCTTTTGAAACACTTAAATCTTGGCTGTATCGACAGTAGACGCTTGTTCTCCCTGCGCTCTGGCGTGACTTAGCCAGCTAGCGCTGTGAACGACGGGCACACAGCTGCCGTCCCCGTGGCGCTGACTGGCTGGCTGACTGAATGAAACGCTTCTCTCCCTCCCTTTCTCGTGTCCCATCCCGGACCGCACGCCCCGCCCTGTCCCGCCCTGCCCTGCCCGCACGCAGACTTGGAGATGGAGAACGTAAAGCAGGATAGTGTTTGGGTGCCTGACCCTCTAAACCACTACAGGCCCAACTCAGGTAGACGAATCTTCCTTTTTGCTTTTGTGCGCTAACCTAACGTAGCACTAACCCTCAGCACTAACGCACCCCGTCGCCGCCGTCCTAACAAACGCCTGTAGCTTTGGAATTGACCACAAATGCTCTGCTCTTTCAGGAGAGCACCTGCATCATTCGATTTTAATGTTTAATATGGTTTTTGTTGATAGTTCTTAAATTTGTTTAGCAATGAGATCATATCTAACCAATGGTACTATGGGTGCGGTCTGGCTCAGCCAGTTAGGGCACTATGTCTGTGATTAGAAGGCCACCGGTTCAAATCCCAGAGTTGGCAGAGTGATTTCACCATTGGGCCCTTGAGCAAGGCCCTTAACGTCCAGTTACTCCAGGGTCTGGTTGGCCCCGTTTTCTTCGAGAAATGTATGCCTTTTTCAATAAAAGCGTCTGCAAAAAAAAAAAAGTAATGTTTTTACAACAATGTCGGACTTCTGAGCTGAACCTAAAGCAGTGTAATCTTAAAAGTATAATTCTGTACCATCCTGGCGTATGATAGTCAAGATTTTTTTTCTTATACTGACGCTTTATCCCATGATCATCTTCGTCTTAACCAAAGCAGTGTAGTGGAATGGTTTGCGGGGGGGGTGGGTCACCTCATGACAGTGGGGGTCCTCAACCAGCCCCCCCAAAGGCAGAAGTCAAACACTTCCCTTGCCTCCTCATTGTTGGCCGTGGCATGAAGACTCACCTCCTGCTCCTTCCGGAACCATCTTTAACGGTGAATTCTCATCAGGCTCGACACAAGCTGCCCCCTCCTTTAAACCGGTCCTATATATTTTTTTAAATGTGTGGAATTTTGTTATCTTTGCTGGGCTTTTCAGAAGATGAAGATGGATTAAAGCATAAAACACACCTAATTTATTCACTTCTGGTCCTCTTAGTATTTCAATTCTCCTCGGATGAATTGAGCTACATTTTCTCCACTGTGGCCAAAATAGTGCATACCTGCTGATCCACTCCCTAATATAACTCTGTTATCACTCCTGCTCGCACTCACCTCACAGAGCTTGTAAGGTTGACTTGCTTCCCTCCTTATCTCCTGATCTTTTCAAACATACCAACTTGAAGAATTATGCCAGAGTATAAATAAAATAATCTGTACCGAACCTGACAATTTAATGCCCATTTTAAAAGCCCTTACCATAAGCTGTAAGTTCATCAGGTTTAAAAAAATAAATAAATATAGCTTAATACAGTTGTTTATGAACTGGGCACCAGCAGCTGAATTTTTAACATGCCATTAAAAGGTTTTTTTTCCCCCCCTTTCCCAAAGAACCTTTTATGTGTGAGAAACTGTTGGTATTTATTTTTCCCCTAAAGTCACGCTAACAGGTGTTTGTGCAGATGTGGTGGCCACTCGTGTGCCTGTTGAAGGCGGTGTCCTCAGGCGGGGTCCTTTCCTGTCCCGAGGACCCAAGGCAGCTGTCTGTGAGTGTGCCAGAGCAGCTGGGAGCCCGTGGGAGCGAGACGGCGTGAGGGGGGCGGCCTGTAATGCCGGCCTGCTTTCCCAGGGACAGCGCCACTGGTCGCTATCTCGTTCCCAGCCGTCTGTGAGCAGGCGACATTCACACAAAGCACAGGAACCTGGTACTGGATTCGTTTGGGGGGTGATCGGGACGGGTTGGCAGGGTTATGGAGCCCCAGGTGGGTGTGGCCCTGTGGATTAGGATGCTCTACCTGTGATCGCCATGTTGCTAGGTCAAATCCCGGGGTCAGCACAGAGATTTCACCACTGGACCCTTGAGCAAGGGCCTTAACACCCAGTTTCTCCAGGGATGCTTCTGCTTTCTCAAAAAGGTCTGTTGTTTTGGAATGGGAGCATCTGCTAATTAAATGAAATATTAAAATCATAGCAACATTTACACTGAAATTTGGCCAAACTTGGTCTGAAGTTTGGAGGATACATTTAGGATAACTAAGTTGTTGTAACCTCGTCTTACGGTCTCTTTGCAAAACATTTTATACTTTTATTCATATATATAGCACAAAGGTAGGCCATTAAAACTTAGCATGGAGTGTCACAAGGACATTTGATATGTAAAACAAGTATAATGTATTTTCTAATAAAGTGAAACATGAAAATCATAGTAATTTGTATATTACGCTTGAAGTTTTCTCCCGCTGTGTTGCCGTCACACAGCCAGAACATTGTCTGTTGTCCAAGTGCATTGACAGTTCTGTGTTAGGTCTCATTGAATAGGGAGATGCCTTGCGTCAGAATCCGCTTCTCATAGTAAACAGAGCGTCCTTTTTTGGGCCAGGACAGCTCTGAGCACAATGGTTGGCACGCATGACTTACATGGGGCACGGTGCCAAGTGACGGGCTTGGGGTGAAGTTATTTTAAACATCATTCTTCAGCTGGTGACAGTCATCGACAATGTAAAGAAAAGGATGTAGGCTAGGCTGTGATGTTAAACACCACCACCGCCCCCCCCCCCATCTTCAGTTTTTTTTACTATTTTTTTCTTTTCTTTTTCCCACCCGAACGGGGCCCAGTGACGATTTTTTTGTTGTATATTATTTTAGAAATATTTCCCTGTTAATATTGAAAGGCTGGCATCAGTGTTGGAGCTGTCAAGGAAGTGAATGAGAAATCATGTGAAATAGACAGTTGGGTTAAGATAAATTTTATTAACCCCCGGGGGGGGGGGGTTATTTTATTTCAGGGTGCACACTGCAGCAAGTACGTATTGGGCAGATGAACATATAGTGTTTATAGCGTAAAACACAGCACAGGGATAGTACACATGGGTGTAAATTATGGGGGGATACGGGGTTGTAACCCCCCCCCCCCGATAATCAAAACCAGTGAATACAATCCCTTGGACACCCTTACATGGGTGGAGACCTCAACCCCCGCAATTCTCACCCAGTTATCCCCTTGCACATAGTAAGTAAACGTCTGAACCGCGTTGTCTGGCTTGCGTGGAAAGCGAATTTCGCGGGGGAGTCGCCGACGGTGGTCGTACAGGGTTTACGGCGGGGGGTGACATCGGATAACCCGGCACTCCGACTAACACAAGCACGGGCAGCTATAAACGCTGCATCGGTCCGGTTCATTGCACCGGGCAGAAATTCAAAAATGACACCGTGTTTTTTCAGGTGTAATAGTATTTCCCTCCCTAACATAAGCAGCTTTGGCGTACATGGAGTACGAGTGGGTTGCATAAATAAAATAAATTTAAGAGCCAGGTTATTTATTAATTGGCTACTGTTTTGGCCAAAGGCAATGCAATACACCCAAAGAGAACTGCACTCAGCCAAAGATTGAACCTCCACATTGATTACAAACTCTGCCAAACAATTACCTTAACAATTACCCCACTTTATAATTGACGCTACAACCCAAGAAACTGACAGGTTAAAGACAGATTAACTGCCGGTACGTGCTGCGATTATGATTATATTTATATGCAGGGTTGCCAACTTTGGTCAACTGAGATTTTCAATTCGAGACAAGCCTGCCACGTATTTACATGTATGTAACGTGTTTTATCACCTTATAAATAATCTGTAGGGTTTGCAAACTACCCCAACGCTTTCGGTGTAGCTAATTTTAGGTTTGTAATGGAATAATATAGCTACTAGATTTGCCGTAAGATTTCTTGCTTGAGCGTGAGAGTCTGAGAGTTTGTATTCTGTTACCCGTAAGCGGGGACTGTCCGTCATACAGGTTTCCCTGCTCATTCACGCCTAAATAAGTTTGATCCGCTTCCACTGTGACCTTCCCACCCCCTGAACTCCATGACCGGGAGTCGAGGGGGGGCGAGGTGCGGTGCCTCCTTCACTGGTGTAAACCGACACCAAGGGGCTGGACTTTCGCCCAGGGAGGGAGAGACAAAAAAGGGGCTTCGGCAGTCCCGATGTGAAGCATTATAAACATCAGCAGCGCCGTTTGTAAAACAGGCGTCCCCCCCGATCGCTCTCAAATTATACTGTAATTATTTTTTTCTCTCGGGTATTTTTCAGTATGACTTTGGAGCTTGTCTAGCTTATTTGCAGGGAGTTTCGTGCCTTCGGGGTTCCTGGATCGGTGTGCATGGTAAAAGTCGATATAGCGACCGCCCGTGTTATAAGGAAGTCGATTGTCTGCGGCGACGGGGAATCGCGAAGTGTGCGGCGACTTAAGGTAAAAAATAATCTTTTCAGTGTCGAGTCGGCGTTACGGGGTATTATTGGCCACGTGAGCGCACAATTACAAGGGATTTGTCGTGGCAACTTACTTCTAGTGACATGCAACAGGGTATAGTGTATAGATTAATTAAGTAGTAGCCTAAATAAAATGTGTGCGGTTTATGCTGCAGTGGCGGATATCAGCGGTAGTGAGATTGTGCCTTTTATATTTTTTAGAGTTAGTTCCATAAAGGATTGAAAATGACTGTCCTGAGAGCAAAATGACACAGTGTTTCGGTACCTCCGTAAAATGCATCCCTAAAGGTTATCGAAGTGTATCTTATGTGAAGTTTGAGCTGTGTAATGTAGTAATAGACCTACTGACCAGGAAGCAAATAATGACACCGCAGATGTGTCCCGCATTAATAGTCCTGATTTAGGCATACATATGCAGAGTTACTCCTCTCTGCCGGTGAAGTCCGCGGTGTTTTGTTTATTTTATTCCCGTGACTTTGGAAACTCAGTAATTCGTTTTTTATGGACAGTTTATTAGCTGACTTGACGTTTCGGCATATCAGTTATAAATTAATTCGTTGTATTTTTCTGCTAAGACATTTAGCAGAATAGTGGAAGGTCTGCCAAGCTGTCGGTGATTGGAAAGGGGGGGGGAAATGTGCACCTCCCCAGGCTTTTTTACTCCTGCTGGTAACTATACCCAGTGGAAACCTCTTGCTGGAAAGTCATGGTTTGGCTGGCGAGTGCGATGACTATTGAGAGCTGAATTGAAAACATCGACTTGGAGAAAGACTGCTTATGGTGTCGGCGTTTGTTACAGGAGTTTTTCCAGATGACTTTATAATGTTTTCATGTTTTTTGGATCGGTGCTAAATGTGTTTGAGGGGGTTACCAATGGTGAGCATCATAAAGAAAAGGTCTATAAAAATTTTAAGTCTCTGCAGCTATAAAATCGGTTTTAAAACACCATTATCTAACTATGTGCGCCGGATTGATTCATGTCTTGAAAATATTTTAGCTTCTGGGGGCAATATTTTTACAAAGCAGGAGATTTTTATACTAATAAAATGGCCATTAAATCTAGGTTTGCACTTTTAACGGAGCCTCTGGGTGATGACGGACCTGGGGCAGACATTCAGCAATACGATCCCGAGATGCAATTATGCTATAGACCACCAGTCTCTTATCTTCTGACTGAATCCTGTACTGATGTATCTGTAATTACAAATGTCCGCCCCGTTAGTCTTCCTCCAGGTTTACGTGTCTTTGATTTTACACCAGAATGATTTGAGCCTGAAATCTACACAGAACCCCCCCCCCCCCCCCCCTTCTTTTTTTAGTAGCAGTGGTTGGTTTGTGAGAGATGTTTTGGTTAAAAGTGGTATTTTAAATGGATCCAGCCAAAGGGACTGGTTTTTTTTCTATATTCAGCATAATGTTTCAACCTTATTTATATCTATACAGTCATTTTTCTGGAAGATTTTCCTTTTATCTAGGAGTTTTGGGGGGTTGGATGGGGGGTGTCTTATAACCTCACTATATGCAAAGAAATATTGTTTTGTTGGTATGAACCCCTTGGTGCATGTTAAGTTATTTGTATCTGAAAATTTAATGTATAAAGAAAAAATGTTTTGCACATGGTAATACATTGCGATTAATTTTGAGCAAAGGTATTAGTATGGTTTCTATGCACAGAAATAGCAGCTGGTGTGTCTGGGCTGACCTCTAACACTTTGTGGAACAGTTAAACACATTGTCTCCCCAAATAGGGAGTTTATTCCTGATACTCTTCCTCATCGCTGATCACCCTGGAACAATGATGCATTCTGCACTTTTAATCTCACATGTGCTGTATCACAAAGCTGTATCTCTGTCACCCTCCTGGCCTGGATTACGCTGCGTGTAACGCAGCATCTCTGAAATCTTTGGCCCGATATCTTTAGTTCTGGCACTGAAACATGGCGAATAATACAATTTACATGAAAGTCAAGTCTTTTATACAAATGTTGTCATGCGGCTCTTGATTGCAGTGAGGTCCCAGCTTGCTCTGGTTTGAGGAAATTCATTCATGTGAGAGATAAATATGGTTAACCGTGCCAGTGGTGACTGCTACAGCAGCCATAAACTGTCTGTGACAAAGGCCTGTCTTTATGGACAGTATCAGTAATGTTTAGGATTCGTTTTTGGGACATCCTTGAAGTTCACCAGACATAGTGCAAGTCCCAAGTTGATGGGATTGTCCTTCATTTTTTTCGGAATGTACGTTGTTAACAGGAAGCGTCGACAAATGTTGACTCTGACAGGCAGACATATCGGCGTTGCCTTCTGAAGCTTATCTTCATGGATTGGCTTGACAAGTTCCTGGAGATGGCATGAGGTCAACCTGGCAGCGCCGGGGGGGGGGGATGTTTGCAATTATTTTTGAAGCTCTGCTATGACTTCAGTCCGGGCTATGCGACGCACCACGGTCATCATCGCCAGCGCTGTAAAAGCTCCGGGTCCCAGGTCATTACTTTGTTTTGGCCGGGATTTTGCACCCTTTCGCTTTCCAGCAGCAGCTGTCATGATCTGGGGGTGGGGGGGGGGGTCTCCTCGTCCAAAAGGGGAGGGAATTCTGCTTTTCCAGATTTTCACATGTCGCTTCCCAGATGCAAAGCTACCCATCTCACTCCTGAAATGAAGAAGGGAAAAAAAAAACAGGAAGAGGGGAGCGGGAGAGCTTGTGATGTCATTAGCCTGGGTCGTCGGTATTTTAACCAGAGTCCGAGGCAGAGAGTTTTGTTTACGGTTTTACTCATTCCCATTGTAGGCTGCCAGCTGACAGTTTGCATCCGTATAATGAAGGCAGTTTGGACGTAAATGACAGCTATCTTTTCAGCAGGATGGCATGCGAGGGTGAGAGAGCCGGTGGCTACGTGTCACAGCATCGGTCTTCATTTTCTTAAGAACTAAAATTATAATGCATGGCAAGCTTGTGCGTGGCTGTGATCATGTGCTCTGGAGATTGGAATAATTCCTATGATTCACCGTGTTTGAATATGTGTCACCACGCGTAAATCCCATTGGCTACTGCCAGGGATTTGTTTTTTTTGTCGTCTCAGGCCTTTTCCCTGGAACCGTACGCCGAATCGCCGGTGGTGGTTATTCTGCCTCAGGCTGTTAGAATGTCTCACTCGCCCTTCACCCATCTCCCTGCACCGTTTTCCTTCACCGTGGCCAAGGGCTCCACATGCAAATTCCAGGGCGAGGCTGCTGGATTCAATTTGCATGACTATGTGTCTTTCAGCCCCAACCCCCCCCCCCCCAGCTTTGAGGAGAAGCAGCACGGAAGCCGTCAGAACATCTGAGGGACTATTTGACGGCCTCACTGCTTCTTTAAGAGTCTCCGTTTTCTGCTCTGTAGCTCCCTGCGGCCTTTTTGCGCAGAATCCTGAGGTGGACCCCAACCTCTCATCACGTAGCTGTTGGGTGTTTAAGGGGGCAGAGCTACAGTGTCACCAGCCCTAGCTGGATACTGATTGGCCCGCTCACCTGTCACTCACGGATTCAAAACATATTATTGGCTAATTAATGAGGTTGGTGCATCTGTATGAATTATGGCTCTTCATATGCCCCCTGACCTTAAAGAATCCCAGAATTGCCCCTGGTTATAGTTTCCCCTTTTGCAAATTGAGTGGGTTCCGTTTGGTCACTTTTCAAACACCATCTTTGCCAGTCGAGTATTTGTTGTAAGGTATCTTGTGGTCATGAGCCAGTTTGAAAGCGAACACCCGACATTTTGCAAGCTCTGGCCGGCCTGCGGTGTCTGCGGGTAATATTTCTGTCACAAGCCCAGAGGTGCCTGCTTGATCCTGGTCGCTTGTGTTTTTAAGGCTATGACCCTACACAGCTGATCTGTCACTTTAAGTAAATGTGCTACTTATTTTTGGGGGTTTTCTTATAGTGGATCAGAGTTGATGTACTTTGAATGGGGTCTCTTTTTAGCATATGGGATTTTGTATTCGTACAGTAAATGGTTGTCATAAAACTGAATAGCGGGTTTGTGAGTGGGGGGCACGGTCTGGATCCCTCAAAAATCCAGAGATGCTTTCACATCTCTGTGGAGACTCTTCTCAGTGTCATGGGCTACAGTACCTTATGAAGGGTTTATGAAATTCCTATTCAAAAGGACAATTTTCCTCTTTTGAAAAAAGGTACTTTTGCTAGCTGGTTCGTCATTTTGCCTGCAAAATGGCCTTCCAGCTGCATTTTCTGGTTAAGAAGCCTCCTCTTTTGTGTCAGTCGGTTCGGTCGTTCACTTCTTACTGTGTCGATTGTCACAGCTGGATGATCTAATTCATATTTTACCTGTCTCTTGTGCGCTCAGTTCCCTGCCTGTCAAAGTCTGTCTACAGGTGTTGGCAGGTTTGTATTGTAGGAGTTAAACTCGAGGTTGTAGCAGAAAATGCAGGTTAAAATGCTGAGACTGTTACCTCTGAAGAGCACTTCACTGGAATTACTTCTAACTCTAACTCAGTATTTCTCAACTCAGTCCTCAGGGACCACCCAGATAGTCCACATTTTTGCTCCCTCCCAGCTGTGGACTGTCTGGGTGTCCTAAATGATTGGGTTGAGATAAAACATTCTAACTCATTGGTCCCTTTAGTTTGCAGTTGCCGCTAAGCTGGAGACATGACGGCAATGGCCTCGCTGGTGATGTAACATGTCGTCTTCTCCCTGGTAGTATCCAAGAAGCACGGGAAGCTGATCACGTTCCTCCGCACCTTCATGAAGTCCCGGCCCACCAAGCAGAAGCTGAAGCAACGTGGGATCCTCCGGGAGAGGGTGTTTGGCTGCGACCTGGGCGAGCACCTACTCAACTCGGGCCATGACGGTGAGACTGATACGGATCCCCCCCCCCCATCGTCCAACATGCTGGGCCTTTATCATTTGTTTTGCCTTTTTTTGCCATATGCACAAGCACAGATACATTGTAATGCTTCTTTTCCTATATCCCATCATGCTCTTCTCTTTTGAGAAGTACACACACATTTCAGAGCAAAACTTGAGGTCTGAATACAGGGTCAACCCATTCATTGGGGCTCCTGTGTGTGTATATATGTGTTTATGGGGGGAGGGGATGTTAAGGGCCTTTTCTTTGTCGGGGAACCGAACCCCGGTCTCCCATATGACAGGCAGCGACACTCACCACTGTACTGATGAGGATGTCTTTTCATCCTTTTCGTTTCTGTGGGAGTGGACTTCTTAATACTTCTGAAAAGTAGTGAGAAACATGGGGGGGGGGGGGAAGCACTCGACACACACGTGTTGTCCACAGGCAATATCAAATATATAAGAATCCTTTGATGCGAAATCAGCACTTGTGCATTGCAGGCAGGGTCTAAAAATCAAAGGAAAATGGGAGCGAACTTAGCTACCAAAGATGAAAACGGCAGTAAACACTTCAGGCATCCTACTGTTAAGTGGCAGAGCGAATCCGGGAAGACGAGCGGTGAACCGTGAGTGGACCGAATGAGCATTTCAAGGCACAAGTATAAGGCCACCAATTACTGTGGACACCCGGTCAGCATTCTACATTCTACAGTGCTTCTAGTATCTCTAAAGGAGATGCACCAAAGGACTGGAAAAAGCGTTACATCAGTTCATTGTTTGTTTGGGACCACAATATACAACAGAAATGTATTACTGGGGACAGAGGTACAATTACTTTTGAGAACATATTTATAACTGTTAATGACTAAAATGATGGAAAAGGTTAGTAGGGTTGCTTGGATATGTTATTTAGGAGGTGGACAGGAGTTATCGTGACAGCCGTGTGTCAAGCAGTTATTGGATGTGACGATGGAACTGGAAATGAGGAAATGTTTTTTAAGATTCAGTTTGATTATGAACAGTTTGTACATTCAACAGTTGGTTTATGCATAAGTTGAGGGTTAGGATAGGATGTCGTGGTTGTAGTAGGAATGTTGCAGTGACACTGGTGTTCAGGTTGGCACTGGTTGATATCTGGCTTACTCAGGTAATTTTTAAGAACCGGCTCACCGATCCCAGAACCGCTAATCAGTTGCACCAGTTCACCCAGTATAGTGTAATCATGAGAGGAGGTCTTCAAAGTGAGACCAGTTCAAAGGCTTCTTCCACTGCAGGGTCAACTCTCACTCCCGTCTCCCATTTATGTGCCATTCTGATCACACACACACCCCAAACCCCCCCCCCCCCCCCCCCCCCCCCCCCCCCCGCCGCTGCGTTAGGAATTTAAAATGCGTCTCTTGAGTCCTTCCAGCATTTTATAGCAGTGATAAATTTAAGCATTTTTAAAGATGACTTTTTCATTTTTTATTGTCAAAGTGGCAATGATGCTGTTCAGTTCAGATGATTTACTTGTCCCTCTGTCAGTTACTGCCCCATCCAAAGTACTGTAAGTATATTTGTTGATTGATTGTAAGCTGTTTTATCCTACTTTGGCTAAAACGGTTTGGTTGCCATTCATATTAGCCTCAGAGCTGCATGGCGTGTGATTGGCTGTTGTCGGAGCCAAGGCTATTTTTGGCAGCATATTTTGATTCAGTTTGTCTTAGTCCTTTGACGAAAATGCAACTTAGTTTTAGTCATATTTTAGTCATCTGATTTTTTTTTTTTTGATTTTTTTTTAGTTTAGTTTTAGTCAACGGAAATTACAGTACATGCTATCAGATGAAACTAACAGGTTTAGTCACATGCACGTACATAGATTAGTTTACCTCTATACATTCTAGATTCCTGAAGGAAACATCTGTAAACCTGTCATTATAGCATGCCATTAGGTTTGAGTATGCAGTCTTTAGGGACAAATTTAACTGTTATAATGCGAAATATTGCTATTCTTTACAAGATAGCTTTATATGATTTTTTTATCATTAAATATAAATAAAACCAAAATTTAGTGTCAAACAAAATACTTTTCAGCTTTCAAAAACATCAAGTATCAGACTATAAAGCAATAAGGGACAAAGGACGCAAGAGCAGGATATGGGGTCAACAGACAGAAAGGAACAGGATCATGGCAGGGTTGCCACATTTGGTCAACTGGCTGGCCTGAGATTCTCAAAGATTTCTTGCGTGAGCATGAGAGTCAGAAAGCGTGTCAAGCCAGATGCGTGAGATTTGGCAACCCTGGATCACGGGGGATCAAAACCAGGGGCAGGGAACCCTACATACGGGACAGGCCACAAGCAGGATCGATGTTAATGCCTGGACTGGGCAGCATTTTAGTACAAGGAATAACGAGGGAGCAAAATGAGGCAGCTGGAGTGAATCACACAAGGGCGGCAACGAGAGGTAAGACAAACACGTAACAGAAATGGACCAGGATTCTGCCTGATGCGATGATTTCCTAATGGTGCCCAAAACAAGTGTTATCCAATTACAAGTGTGCATACAAGTTTTTAAAATTGCAGCACCGCATTCATACTCTTATTTGTTTGGTGGACCGTGTCATGTGTAAAGATGATAAAAACATTAGTCTTAGTTTGTGTCATTAAAGGTGCCTTTTTATTTAGTTTTTGTTCTGTACTGTCAAGAAATGTTGACAAGTATTCGTTTTTATCGAGAAAATTAACGCTGGTCGGAGCCGGTAGCCAGGGTTGTTTCGCTCGCCGGCAGGCTTGCCACATAGGCCCAGAAGGAGTCCTAACCTAGTAGCCCAGAACACTAGGATAACCCCCCCCCCCCCCCCCCGACCCAGCTATCTAAGTTAGAGCTGGCTGTCCTTCTTGTGGATCGTTGCCACGGTAACGAACGAGCTTAGTGTCCAGAGGTCATCTGGAATGGTTAGTGAGCTATCTTTCTCCTCCAATGACTCGAGACGTTTTGGCTCTGCTTAGGCAGTTTTATTCAACCTGTAAATCTTCTCTAAGTTGCAAACTGCCCCCCCCCCCCCCCCCCCTTTCCAGGGGCTTGCAGGGGCAACAATGTTGTTGGGCAGCTTCTTCAGAAGTTATCACCCTCTGTGATCAGTTAAGTCAAAATTTTGTCCATTGTGTTTGTTTTATTTATTTATTTTTACACAGGTTTTACACCAATTACTGGTTGGTTTGGTGTTTGTTGCGTGCGTTCCAAGAAACATGGTGAAATTCTTGTGCCACAGTTGCAGGGTGGGGGACAGGTGGAGGACAGATGACACGGGGATCGGATAAACAGCGGTGCAAATGCTTGACAAACAGCTTTGCAGTGCAGGGCAAGACACTGCAAGACAAGTGCAATATAAGAAGTCAAACAATAAATATGTTCCATTTTTGTGAGATGTTATGTTGAGTGACCATGTTTATTACCGTAATGACACTGAGGACAATAGGGCTTTTTTGCTCTCGTCCCTCCATGTAGTACGTGTTTAGAGGACAAACAGGATGCCACAGAGCCCTGTTGCGGTCACATGATTTATTTTGGGGAAAGTCACTTCGTTGTGCCATTGACCATCACAGAGTAAACAGTAATGCTGGTAGCTGTGATTTGTTAATAGGCCAGTGGGCTCATAGGGCCTGATTTACCACCCGGGTGCTTTGGAGGAACATTCCGGAAGCGCCGGGGAACGGATCTGAGCAGATGTAGTTGCGTCGCATGAGATTTCACTCCATCCAGAAAAAACACACACAATGAGAAGCACAGAACCTGCCTTTCCCGAGGTTTAACGATTCCGTGAGATGTTTGGACGCGTGGCCCCTGTGTGGGTGGATTGGGGCTGCGTGGCGCAAACATGACAGCAGGGAACAGTCATAAATATAGCAGATTATGGAGTTTTGTGGGTCAAACCCCATCTAAAGGAGTACAGCTGGCAGTAACGTCTGTTGTGGAATTTCCTGAGAGGGATTTCCACGTTAATACACGTAAATAGCAACACATGGTCGTGTTTCTGTTTTTGTGGGATTTTTTTTTTTGGCCAGTAATTTTTAAGTGTTTTCCTCGTTTTATTCTCAAAGCCAGTTTCATCTTAAGACAAATAGGTTAGGTGACTAGGTAGACTCCTTTTCCAGCTGTAGCTTCTGCGCTGTCCTTGAGACATAGTCCAT